AAGAAGTCTTGCTTAGCTGGAGATACTGGGAATATCACCCTCTGATAATGTGTGCAAAACATATCACATATCTTAACAAATCTGGATTGCCCCCTGGGACTAATTTTGGATGCCCCAAGTTTACTGCTGATGAGCTGCATGTTGCACGACAATTCTTGCGAATAGCTTCACTTCTAACATGCCCAAGCTATCTGGTTGATGAGGAGAAATCGTCTCAAGAGGATTTTACAAAAGACCTGACATTCACCATGCTCTGGTGTCTTCAAACTCTTAGAGAGATTCATCGAATCTCGACTTGATTTCCCCAGATTGATTGTAGTTGGTACAATAAAGTCTTCAAATTTTGCCCCAATAAAGGGTAAACAAGTTGGGAAAGCATTAACTGGGAGAAGCAACATGTTCGTGCTTACGGTCTTCAGGTGACATGCCCCTGGATATGATTTTTTTCTTGAAATGATTCGCCAATTACTCAACATAGTTTCAAGCCTTAAGAATAGACTCATCACTGGTGCTTATATGTGAGTTTCCTTGATATCAAACAAATGTTTTGCAGTTAGAAAATTTTATTATGAGAATGAAAATTCTAATGCAACAGTTATGTAAGTCTTGAAGATTTTGAAAAGATATCGCATAAATTTTACGAGTTAGAGCATCATTTATTTTTGTATAGGAAAAACATATGATACCAACATAACTATCTAGAACATTCATGGGAGTCAGGAACACTATCTCATTGAAGTATGCTTTCAAAATAACCTTGCTTCAATTAGGACTTTTGAAGGTTGTAACGTGGTCTGGTTCATGGTTTTTTAGAAAAAAGATTTTAAAGCTCAAAATATTTGGTGCCCACCCATTCTTCATGATGTTCTCCAACCCTATGTTCAGTTAATTCAACATGAGTGTTCATCTCTCAAAAGGATTTTGTGACGGTCAAGGAAACGACGAGGCTTTCGGAGTAGAAACCACCCTCATGTCTTCGTGTTTGTAGTCACCAATTTGTTCTTTGCTGAGGACTTTTCTTTGCAGTCCTTTTCTTTGCAATTTTTATTTTCCCTAATTTTTGCCTGAACTAATTTTTTTGAATTGATAGTCCAGCGGGATGCCTTAATTTTGCCTAAGTCACACGTTTTCATGTTTTTTTGACTTAGCAGGCTTTTTCTTTTTCTCGATTTTTGACTTTTTGAACAAAATGTGTGACATTAGCTTGTCTTTACTTGTTGAGAGGATTGTGATTGCCTCGTTTCTTGATGAGTGAGGGATAACATTGTGGTTCCACATCCTCTAGATTCATTATACATGAAGGATAGCCCTCGTAGTTTCTCTTCAAAAAACATCTTCCTTATGAATTATGAACACTCAGTCAGATTAACTAAAAACTACCCTGCCCCGGGTTAAAATTCAAGGTTTTTTCGTATAGAAAAAGAAACTTCTGCTTCAAAGGCTCAAAAGGGGTTAGCAAGGGATTATCTTCCTTATATCTCTGGTGTTTAGGGATTTGAAACAATGCCTGTACATCGTCAACAAGATTTTATCCAAAAGCAAACAACCAGAGATTTTGTGTTCTTTAGATCATCATCCTCCCCTCAATCTCTGCCTAGGCAAGAGAATGAGCAACAATTTGGTATCATAGTGCAAAAGCAATTAGCAATTTAAAATTTGAAAACAAATATGAGTGAAACGAATGAATTTCTTCAAGACAAACATACTCATTGTATTAAGATAACCATACAGATGCAAACAAGTTCTTACATGCAAACAATGTTTTGATAAACAAGAAAAATTACAAAAAGCAGAAATAAGTTAATGATCGGGGAAGGCTTTCCATCTGGACTTGAATCACCGAAAACATCCTTCAAAACTCAAAGTGACCATCAATCGTGTTTTCTCTTCGGCGCATGCTTGATTTGAACTTCAAAACCAACATCCTTGAATGACAATCAGTGAATACTTTTATCATCGCTTCCTCCTTCTTAGAAGGATTGACTTGGGCAGCAACCAAAATTTCAACCAAAACAGTTGAGTGATCCGTACTAGCTTTCAAATTAGTCAAATTTCTGCGGAGTTCAGAAACCTCTTGCTTGATATTCCCCATTGTTCTCTTAGCGTGAGTATTGTACTGGTCAGACCGAAGGAAAAATAAGACTTGGAAAAAGGCCTTTGAAAGTGAAACAAAAATGTAGAATGATGTATGATATGCAAAAGAGAGTTTTTATTGGACTTTCAAGGAACTCAAGATATTAAGTTGTAAACATCAAAGTATGAAGATAGAAGATGAATTTTAAATTGGCTTCAAACATTGATCAAGTTATCATCAAGATCAATCATCCATTTTGGTGGATTAGGGTTTTCGCCCTATCAACGCCCAAGATCCATTGAGCTTGACGAAACTTGTGATGTTTATAAAGAAAGACCTCCAAATTCCTTCAAAGTCAAGTGAAAAGGGTTTTATGGATGCATGAATGCATGGCTATGCAACAACCACAAGCAAGGTCACAAATAAAGTCGAAAGGTTCAACGTCACGAGCATGGAGTCAAGGTAAGGAACACCCCCAAGGTATGTACTAACGGTTTAATCACACCTGTAGAACAAGGTTCTAAGAGTTCCCGGAGTCTACATTCCTCCTTCGGATATTACCAATGTCTTGATTACTCAATAATCAGCAATATTCTCAAGAGAAGCTCATCCGAGCGTAGCATCGCGTAACAATTACTTCCGGATTACTCCGTTATAATCTTCGCGCTACACCTAAAAGGCCAAGATGGGTTAGGGTTCTACGGTTCTCAGCTTCTCTGGCTCCCAGGTCGAAAATAATAATGTCTTCTCGATTACTCGGTAAACAAATATTACGTTCAAAAGGGCCTTCCACTGAGTGGGGGATCTCATGCCTTCTTCTTCGGGATTACTCCCTCAAAGTTAACATGACTATACCGCCCGTCTTATTCCTAAGTGTAACTTAGTCCGGGTATAGGACTTGTCCTTTGTAAATATTATCAACACCCAAATAATCATAATATATACATATAATCAAACAATCAAATAATGATAAAACAGATAAAACAAATTAGGCTTAACCCACTTAGGAATGGACCAGCAAGAGGTCAATCTTTCCCCAGCAGAGTCGCCAATTCTGTAGCGGTGAAAATCGGAGATCAAGCTATTAATTAACTTGACTCGCGAAAGCAAGAGTCGCCACCGCGCTTTATTATTTCCAAGGGAAAAGGGAAAAGAGCGAAATAAAACCCTAAAATATGCAATGTATAATAATACTTAAAAGTAATGAAAATACCATGCGTTTTGAAAAGAGATTGAGAGTTCGGGGGTTGGTTATACAATGGGAAGGTATTAGCACCCAATGCATCTGCGGTACTCCGCAGGAACCTTTTGAAATATCTGTTTTTTAGTTAAAATTGTTTGTTTGATTAAAATGGTTCGTTTGGCTAAAAATAGGCGTGGACGAGATTTTTGAAAATCCGACGAGCTAATGTCGAAGTTTTTGACTTAAAAGGTGTGAGTTTAAAAATTGAATCTTTTGGGAAAATTATCTTAGGTTTAACAAAATAGTAAACAAACAAAAGATGAATGAGGGTATTCGCACGATTGGATGAGATGTGTTTGATAACATGAAGTCAACAAAGTTAAAACATTTCCCTTGGATTAAATCGCGCGAGCAAAATGAAATAGACATCAAAATATAAGCAATCAAAATTCACAAGAAAATAAATATAACGAAACAGATTAATGACCTAAAGGCATCGAGAAATTAAAATGACGAAGATATTTAAATAAAATAAAAGAGAATGTAACTAATTATCTAAAGAAGTTATTTAAACTAAATTAAAAATTTAAGATTACTTACTAAAAATTCTAAACTAACTACAAATTCTAAGGTTGCAAAAATAGTTCTAAAATTACCAAATTAGATCTTAGCTAAATTAAAAATTTTAAAATTAATAAATTAAATCTAAACTAAATAAAAATTCCAAGGTTGTTAATCTAAAACAAACAAAAAATTCCAAAGTTACTAAACTAAATCTAAATCAAATAAAATTCTAAAAGAATATTAAATTAATTCTAAACAACTAAAATTCTAAACTTATTAAACTAATTCTAAATCAAATAAAAATTATAAACTCATTAAACTAATTCTAAATCAAATAAAGTTCTAAAGTCCATAAACTAAAACTAACAACTAAAATTCTAAAGTTAACTTAAATAAAATCAAATAAAATTCTAAAGTTTACTAAATTAAAACTAAAACAAATAAAATTCTAAAATTTACTAAGTCAAATCTAAATGAAATAAAATCCTAAAATTACTAAAATAAAACTAAACAAAATAAAATTCTAACGTTTACTAAGTCAAAACTAAAACAAAATAAAATTCTAAAGTTTACTAAGTCAAAGCTAAAACAAATGAAATTCTAAAATTTACTAAGTCGAAACTAAAACAAATGAAATTCTAAAATTTACTAAGTCAAATCTAAATGAAATAAAAAAATAAAAATGTCTTGGCAAGGTGTTGAACTTGTATTCTCTTGGTTACTGCATGCCAATCTTGCCAACTGAACTATACTACTTAGTTGTTATTATTACATTTTTATTGAAATATAAAAGGAGCGAGGATAATGGGATTGGGCCACAAAAAGGCCCTTGGGCCGACCCGGTTTAGAAGAGCAAAAGGAAAAAGCTGGAACCCTAGCAAACAAAAAGAGGCGCTGCGGACATAGAGAAGAGGAAAAGAAATTTTCAAAGATTCTCATCAATACTATGTTTAATTCCCAAAAAAAACTCAACAATTAAAATAGAAAAGAAATCTCTCTCTCTCTCTCTCTCTCACGGTTCTTAATCACTACCTCTCTCGGTCTCACAGTTTTTTATGCAACGAGCCACAGTAACAAAAACTTATATGACAACTCTCGGTCTTCCAAACAAAACTGGATCTGAACATGAATATATAATGGTTAAAAGAAACTATGTCAAACAATGACAACAAAAGTGCATCAGAAAACCAAAAATGAAGCGTGAAAATGGGATAAATTTACCAAAAGAGATGCTGATTCCGGTGAGTTCGATGGCTTCAGCAAAGAATAAATTGAGGTATGGCTCTGTGTTTTCAGTTGTTTCTGACGTTCCTCTACAGTTCTTCCAAAATCTATGGTATTTGCGCTTGTTAGTGTGATATGTTGTTGACTTGTGAATTGAGTTGATTTTTGTGAGGTTGAAGTTTCACGATTTCGCATTGAGTTTGAGTAGTTGTGGTTTCTGTGAAGGTTTAAATAGAAGGTCGTTTGTGAGGATTATAGTTGGTTGGGTATTATTTTTTTGGTTTTGCATTGAGGTAGCAGAGGTTAGAGGTAGAGGATGAGGCAGGTTTATGGAGGAAGTATTTTTAGAGGGATTTCTTAGTGATTTTTATTTCTACTGACTTGTTTTTCTTTTTTTTTTCTTTTCGGCTATGAATGTTGTTGCTGTTATATATATGTTTTCCCCCCTTTTTTCTGTTAACCAAGTCTAAGTTTATAGAGAGAAGAAAAATGAAATTTTGGGGGGAAAAGGTTGGTGAAAACATTAACGAATGCAGTGTCTTATTTCATCTCCTTTTGATGCAGTTTTTACTTTTCTATTTTTGTGAAAGTTTAGACTGTTTTTGGACAGGTTTTTGGCAAGTTGTGGTGCAGGTTTTACATCAAAGCAGTAGCAGGTTTTTGGCAAGTTTTGGGCAGCATTGTAGCATGCTTTTGGAACAGTAGTGCAGCAGTAAAATTATCATTGAAAGGTCCCTTTTCTACTTTGCATTTTTTCTGATTTTCCCATGTAACCATACATGTATTTTTCCTCTCTTTTCTTTCAAAATATTGGACTGATTTTGCTTCCATATGTTTTGTTGTTTTAATGGACAGTTTTGGGTGAGAGTTGGAGCAAGGTTTGTGGATAATTCTATGGCATGATTTGGAAGAATGAATCAAGTTTGAAGATTACGATAGGTTTAGAATTTGTTTTCTTGTACAAACACTTGTGTAAAATTGTTGTGGTAACTTGTAATTTTGACTTAGAGCTTGATTAAATGTAATTTGGGAATTTAAATTTGTGCAACTTGCAAATGGATAAGACAAAGGTTATTTGGAACTTTGAAATTATATTTTTGAGATGTCTTGAGAATTGAATGGGTTTGAATAATGGATGATGAATAGTTAGATCTTGAGACTTTGTATTTTAGGCACTTGAAACCTACACTTTGAAGAGTAGTGAATGATATTGTAATGGAATTACTTTGTAATTTTCTTTCTCTATTTTTGACAAAAACAAACAAATAATAACATAATAGTAACAATAATATAAGAAGAAGAAAAAAAGTATTAGTAACAATAAATAAAATAAGAATAATAAAATGCAACAATGATAATAACAATAATGAGAACAAAATAAAAATAATTAGTAACAATAAAAGATGAAATAATAACATGCAATAAAGATACTAATAATAATAACAATAATGAGAAAAAGGGAAAATAGTTAGTAATATCTAAAAGAAATAGAAATAGATTAAAATAAGAAGAAAAAAAATAATAAGACAGATTTTTGAACTAAAACAAATTCATTGGAAGTATGATAGAAAATGCAAATGATAAACTATTTTAATTCTTTTTTTTTATAAATAGAAATTAAAATGATGAATAAAAACAAGAAAGTATGCGAAATGATCGATTTTTCAAATTAACGACAAAATATGCACCAGTCGAAAAAAGTGAAGGGGAGAAAAAATGGGGTGCGACAGTTGTGCCTTGATGAATCAGTCTTCGAGAATCCATAATCAACCGTATTTTTGGCTTGGGAGACTCAAAACTTTAATTGAGGCACGACACCTGATGCTCTTGATTCAGACCTGTCTCTGCACATGACACAAAAGAAAACATGAACATACACCTTCGTATGCGATTAGAATATAGTGATACATATGCTAAAAATGTTCAAAACACTTGACAATCTTCGCATAGTCAAAGCTCGAAGGTGAGAGGTTAAAACCGACCGTATTTCGTGACCTTGACTTATGCAAAAATAAAAATGGGATCTTAGGTCAAAAATTGGGGTACAACAGTAATCACCCGCTCCAATACCGAAGCACGACAAGGGTGTTAATACCGTTGAGGATACAATTTTTGTTGCCTCTATTGAAGAACTTACTACTCCACTGAATATAATCAAAAAGAACTTGTTGAAGGCCGGGATTTTCCCGGGCTGTGTAAAAGACTGTGTGTGTTGTACAAGACAACACAATGGTTGTGAAGGGCTGAAGAAAGGCATACAATGCCTGATGGATAGCTGCAAAATTCTATTCGAGAAGACCTCACTTGCCAAGAGTTTGATTAACAAATGTGAAGACCTCTCCATTATTACCATCTCAAACAAGCCTCTTAGGATCACCTCCAAAGGTCCTATTAGGATTTCAAATGAACCCATTATTGCTCCCTTAATAATTACCAATCCCTTACCAATTCCCTACTCTTCAAATAAGGAAGTACCATGGAATTATGGTGCTGAGGTGTTCTATCATGGGATTAAACAAGATTCCTGGATCGAAGAAGAAAAAGATGACAATGTTGGCAACATATCTGGCTCAAGCAAGGTAACTAGAACTGGGAGAATATTTTCACCCAATATCTCACCATCGATTGTTACAAAAACGCCCATCCGCATTACTGTTGCCAAGCCAAGTACTAATGCAAGAGGGGAGGAGAAGGTCATTGAGCCTGATGTGATTTAAGTACCCACAAAGGATGGAGAGCCCTCCGCTTGCAAGATGGACGAGATCTTAAAGATCATAAAAAGAAGCGACTTCAAGATTGTAGAACAGTTAGGGCAAACCCCTTCTAAAATTTCAATGTTGTCATTACTGCTTTGCTATGATGCCCATGCTCGGACATTAATCTAGTTCCTGAAAAAAGGCTCATGTTCCCCATGAGATAACAATGGACCAATTTGAGAATTGTGTGTCTAGCCTGACAACTGATAATGGCTTGGAGTTTTCAGATGCTGACTTAACACCTCTTGGGAAGAATCATAATAAAGCTTTACATGTTTCTATCGAGTGCAAAGGGACTACCTTAGCACATGTGCTAGTCGACACTGGTTCTTCTCTGAATGTATTACCCAATGGGGCATTAGACCGTCTTGACCGTGAATATTTTTTCTTGAAGCCAAGTGACATCATTGTAAGGGCGTTTGATGGATCAAAGAGGACAGTTCATGGGGAAGTAGATCTTCCAATCAAAGTGGGCTCTTAAATCTTCAACTCCACCTTCTATATTATGGATATTCGACCTGCCTATTCTTGTCTATTAGGTCGCTTGTGGATCCATAAAGTTGGGGCAGTAACCTCAACCCTCCACCAGAAACTCAAATATCCAGTCAAGGGCAGAATAGTCATCGTTTGTGGAGAAGAAGAGTTTATGGTGAGCCACCTTAACTCTTTCAAGTACGTAGAGATGGATGGAGAATTCATTGGGACCCCATGTCAAGCCTTTGAGGTTGTACCACCAATGGTTGCTACTACCAAATGTTCTTCTGATGAATCTGAAGTTGTTAAAGTCTTACCAAAGATGGTTTCAGTCAAAGACGCCCGTGCGGAAATTGAAGAAGAAAACTGTGATACTTGGGGGAAACTCCTCGATATCCCATTTAAAGAAGACAAGTTTGGTTTGGGCTTCACTGTCAAAGCTCATAAGGAAGTGAGGCGTGCTCGTGCTGGAAAGCCACCTCTCCACATTGGAAGCCATGAAGTCAACACCATGGGTGATTCTGATGAAGAAGCCGCATTTGAAGCTTGGGTGTACCCAACTACAACGGAGCTGAAGAATTGGCATGCAAAGGACTTTGTGCCCATCTCCTTCATTGAGGAGTAATCTACTTGTTATTGCTTTTCTTTCAATTCAAGAGCATGTTGTCTGTAATATTTTAACAATGACTTTTCAGCCATATGCCTGGCCTGGGGCACTTTGGTCCATTTATCAAGGGTTTTATTTATGTTCATCTAATCATATGATCATTCAGTACATTGGACTCCTTTGCATTCAAATATTTGTGTTCATTGTCTTTCCTTTCTTTCAAATACATTTTTCAAAAAAATAGCCATGTATCTTACATGCACACACACACACACTCTTGCAGGTCCACATTCACTCTAGATCCTATTGCCAATGACTCTACTATTGCCGACTATGACTTTGAATGTCCTATCAACCAAGCCGAAGATGAAGGCGAGGAAGATTGTGACATACCGGGAGAACTAGCCAGACTACTATTACAAGAGGAAAAAGTTATTCAACTGCACGAAGAGTCATTTGAAGTTATCAACCTTGGTACTGACTCAGATAAGAAGGAAATCAAGATCGGCACTAATTTAGAAAGCAATGTCAAGATCAGGTTGGTTCAGATGTTGCATGATTATATGGAAGTATTTGCTTGGTCTTATGAAGATATGTCTCGGTTGGATACCGACATCGTAGTTCATCGTGTGCCGACAAGAGAAGACAGCCCTCCTGTTAAACAAAAGGTTCGTCGCATGAGGCCTGATATGTCTGAAAAGATCAAAGCTGAAGTGATGAAACAATTTGATACAGGGTTCCTAGCTGTGACATCCTATCCTCATCGGGTTTCCAATATGGTGCCAAGAAAGAAGGGAATGTTCGCATGTGAGTAGACTATAGGGATCTGAATAGGGCGAGCCCCAAAGATGACTTCCCTCTACCACACATTGACGTCTTAGTCGATAATACTGCTCAGCATAAAGTCTTTTCTTTCATGGATGGTTTCTCAGCCTATAATCAAATAAGGATGGCTCCCGAAGACATGGAGAAGACTACATTCATTACACAATGGGGAACCTTTTGCTACAAGGTCATGCCATTCGGATTGAAGAATGCAGGGGCAACGTATCAAAGGGCTATGGTAGCTTTGTTTCATGACATGATACATCATGAAATAGAGGTCTACGTGGACGATATGATCGCCAGATCACAAACTGAAGAGGAACATCTCGATCACCTATACAAATTATTCGAGAGGATGAAGAAGTACAAGTTGAGGTTAAACCATAACAAGTGTACATTCGAAGTACGATCTGGAAAGCTTCTAGGTTTTGTTGTCAGCAATAAAGGCATTGAAGTTGATCCTGCCAAGGTAAAGGCTATCCAAGAAATGTCGGTCCCACATTCTGAAAAGGAAGTTAGAGGATTCTTGGGTCGTTTCAATTACATTGCTCGTTTCATATCTCACTTGACTGCTACTTGTGAGCCAATCTTCAAACTCTTGAAGAAAGATCAGGTAGTCGGATGGAACAATGAATGCCAAGCTGCCTTCGACAAAATCAAAGAATATCTACAAGATCCTCCTTTTCTCATGCCTCCAGTTGAAGGAAGGCCCTTGATTATGTACTTGACAGTACTAGAGAATTCTATGGGGTGTGTTTTGAGCCAACATGACAAGTCTGGCCGAAAAGAGCATGTTATTTATTACCTGAGCAAAAATTTTACCGATTGTGAAACCAGATATTCACTGCTCGAGAAAACTTGTTGCGCTCTGGCATGGGCAGCTCGCCGGCTAAGACAATATATGTTGACTCATACCACTCTGTTGATTACTAAAATGGACCCAATCAAGTACATTTTCGAGAAAACTGTCCTTTCCGGACGGATAGCCAGATGGCAAATGATCTTGATTGACTACGATATTCAATACACTATGCAAAAGGACA